AAAGTACAAAGCAGTGAAAATCATTAATAGGCAATCGTTCGATGGGCTGAATTGCACAAAACGCGTAATCGCACCGGCTAGTCTGGTGCGCGCTGCTATTTATTTTTTTTGTTTTCGCATTAAAAAATTATGCCTGCCCACCAAATTCCACTCCGCCATTATCTAGTGCGCTATTTTAGCCTTACCGCAACAAAGTTCCAGAAGTCTCCAACAGTTAGAATAAACGGGTAAAAACTATACCGCAAGAGCTTTTAGAAGATCCTCCACGGTTGCAGTCGGTGTCAATGTATCAGCAAAAAATCGCACTGTTTTATGGTCCAAATAATAAACACTTGCAATACTGCCAAGAGGGGCAGATATCAGTGATTGTTCCTCCTGCAACTTTACACATGCATCACATTGTCCGACAACTACACGGAACATCTTTTTCTCCTATCCTCGGCTCTCTTTCCGACCCCCCTTCCCCGTTCCACTACCCCAAAACCCTTTCTCCATATCCTTCACCTCTCAATTACGTATCAAAGGACCTGAATGGGGGTGTCTGCCGTTTACTGAGAGTAAATTCAACGAGTTCGAGCTACACATGGCGCAGAAAGAGAAAATTTTGGTTAAAAGGCGCTGAACTGTGCTGCAGGATATGATGTGTCAACATCAGTCACAGGCGTAACAGTGAGTACCCTTTCTTCGTAGACCAGTTACAGACTGCTTTAAGCATGTACGAAATCAAAAATAAATCAGATGCAGACTGGAAAGCTTCGAAGGCCGGCATTCACACCATCAGTGAAGAGTTCCCAGTATCACTAAGCTATACTCAAAAGCTAAGCGCAGTCATGCATTTACTGAATTACCCGTGTGATTCACCGCCACTTCACCTCCAAACAGTAAAACTACTTTCTGCAAGGGAATCTTTAGCCACAGGGCCATAAGTGTGAAGCTAAGCATACTTCATCGACATAGACGCATCCCGAAAGCAAAAGTTCTTCGACACAATTATCAACAGTGGCAACAAGAAACTGTGTCAAAGCTTCTGGCGTTGTATCCGTCACTCCATAATAACTGAAAATCAGAAATTTTTAACTCAATTTATTTGCTACGATGTATGCTTGATTCAACGAAAAGTGAAGCCATTTCTTTAAAGACTCGGGGCAAATCGATCGCCAAAATCCGTCAGTGAGAAGCCCATCCTTCTAAGTTTCCGCAGTCTGTTCGATCGCAAATTAATATTAGCGCATAATTCTATGTCAGACCTAACATCAACACGTCTCACAAGTAATAACTTCGGAAAAAAGAACCAGTGCGAGACCAGTCAACGAACAAGTACTGCTAGCAAAAAGAATTGCGCTAAATGACAAGTGCTGCTTTTTCCCTCTTTCTCTTACTCTCTCGTATAAGGAATAAAATACCAGGACGATATTGGCAAAACATGAAAAGTATTTTTGAAAATGATCTATTTTCAAGAGCTACATGCACCAAAGAACTGGGAAAGGCCGTCAGAATAAAGAGCGAGCAGATGCATCGGAGAATTCTACAGCCGACACATTACCACAACGGAAGCAGCGGCCTCATTTTTCAAGCAGCGGTAAAATGGGCTGATTTTTTTATCACAAAAACAAAACTTTTTCGCCATCAGAATACAGGTCACCTTTTCAAAGGCTTTGGAAGAAGCATAATTATGTAGGGGCATAATTTCACTGCCCCCAAAAACTTTAAAATCTGTTAACATCAAAGAAACGTGCTTTATGGACAAGCAGAAACTTCTTTCCAAGTAAAAATTCACTATTTCAAGCTGAGAAATAGTTCATGTTCGCAGTACAAAAACGAAAAGTTGATGAAAAATGATTCATTGTTTCCAACAGAAGAAATTTCTTAATTGAAATTTTATAGCTAGCACAACTGTTCTTTTTTGCACATCGTTACCTCGGATTCGCAAAAAGTCGGCGATACAAGTACGTATTGGAAACATATTCCACAATTTGCTGCTTCGAACCAATAGTCCCTGCGTAAATTTCTGCATTTACATGATTGGGCAGTACTTGAAGTAAGCTGCAATAAGAATATTCGCTTAAAATAGTGTCAATTTCATCAACACTCCATGAGAAACATGAGCAGTTGCTAAAGTGCAATTGTGGGCTGTCACGAGAGGAGCATTTTTCAAATCCTAAATATACAGAAAAGGTTACTCTTTAGCTTCATAATGACGTATTTTTCTTTTTTTATATCCCGCCTGTTTTGACATGCCATTTTTTGGCTCCTCTGCTCAGGGCCAAAAAATGCCATGTCATAATGCAGGCTTATAATATTCAGCTAATTTTCGTATTAGTTTAGGGGAATTTAGGATGAAATTTATTCGTCCTTTTGCAATTTTCAACCTAAATCCCCCAATTACTATTCTTTCTAACTCAGTTTTTAGGACCACTATCAACTACATAAGAGGATGCTACTCGTGCTAGCCTCCTGTCTTCCAAAAAAAGCTAAGCTCAATTTAGTGTAGAACAAAAGCAAATCTGTGGTTTTTATATAGTAATTACTAGATTAAATGATTATTTAAATGATTATTTAATCTAGTAATTACTATATAAACACCGCAGATTTGCTTTTGTTCTACACCAAACTGAACCAGGTTTCAGCAAAATATTCATCGCCCTTCAAAAATCGTGTAAGTTCCAGATACCTTGATTCAACTGGAAACGGTTCGTACAGGAAGCGCTTATAAAAGTTTTTCTTGATATCCTGAACATAGATCACTGCTACCGCCGAATCATCAAACTGTGGTCG